ATAAGTAACTCAAACACAAGTGAACAATAACTAACCACTGCACTACCTGTGCAGCTCTTTATTATAGTACCAGTTATGCAAATGACCCAATGCTACAAGTCAAATAAATATGATTGGCTAGTTTACCACTGCATAACCACTGCAATGCAACACTTTACCATAATTGTTTGAGATGTTATCACATAGCCATTATGTAAGTTCTACACATGCTTCTTCTTGCATTCACCGTAATTTTCCTCCTCGCACATGGCGGAGCAAAGTGACAGTGAAACTGAACCTCGTGACCAGTCGGCTGCTTGTTTGCCTCGGAAACGTGTCAAACGAGTGTTCAATGAAGCTTGGAAATCAAAATGGGCATGGCTAGAACACAAAGACAACCATATGTTTTGCACACTATGTGTAAAAAGCCAAAAAAGAACGTTTTTACCGAAGGCTGTAGCAACTTCAGAACCACGACTTTGGAGCGGCATGCTTCAGCAGCTGACCATCGCCAGTCGGTACAAGATGAAATCTCAAGGTCAACTCTATCGAGAATGGTAAAAAATCAGTTTAGTGAGAACGACAGTGCCATAATCCATGCTCTACGAACAATATATTTCTTGGCAAAGCAGGACATAGCAACATCCAAGTACCCAGATTTTGTTGATTTTTTGATACAGCAAGGCTGCAGTGCTCTTGTGCCAATTGCAAAAAGCTACCAATCCTACAGTATTGCCAAATACTTTCAAGAGAGTATATACGAAGTGATCCTACGAGATATGAGAGAAAAGCTGACAGATGTCGACTATATCTCTGTGCTTTGTGATGAATCATGTGACATTACTAGTACAAAAAAACTAAGTGTGTGTGCGAGGATATCATCAGGCTGTAAACCAGAGACCATTTTCTTAGAGAATTGTGAAATACTGGATGGGAAAGCAGACACCATTGCAACATCTGTCAAAAATCTCTTGACAAAGTTTGAAGTGTCGCCTGATAAGGTAGTAGGACTAGGAAGTGACGGTGCATCGGTCAGTATTGCATAATATTATCAAGAAACAATAAATATAAAACAACTGGTGTGAAGTTGATAAATAGAATAAATTAAATAATGTACTGGATATGTAATATATTACAAGGAAACAATAAATAGAATAAATATTTAAAATTTCGTTCATGAATTTTATTTAGTCATGATTATAATTATTACTGTCAGTCTGTTATATATATGAAAAATTCCAAAATATAAAATAGTTTGGAAACTTTTTATTAATGAAATAAATTAATAGTTTAAATTTTTTAAAATATTGGTTAGTTCATCAGATGTTGATGTGGAAAAGTTAATTTCAATCTTTATCTCATCAGGTTATAACCGGAAAACACAATGGAGTCAGTACAACACTAAAAAGAGAGAGAAATCCACAGCTCATTCAACTGCACTGCATTGCTCACCAACTTGCACTGGTGTCTAGCCAAGCAGCCAATGGAGTGCCAGATTTGAAGACCTACCAGGAGTTCATGTATCATGTATTAGATGCTCCCAAGATCAGGATAAAGAAAGTACATTCTGTTCGTTGATTTAGCTTTTTAACAGTCTAGATGCATTGTATTGCTCTTGGCAATCTTTGGCAATGTTGTTTTAGCAATGTTCATGAGAAATGCCTTTGTCGTTTTGCTTTAAACACACCAAGAGCACTTCCAAAGTCAAAATACTGAGAAAGGGGGCCATTTAGTTTTATGGCGATCAACATTTGTAAATTTTCACTGATCAGTCTATTTCTAAGGCTAGATTTGATTATATTTTGAGCACTAAAGCCACGTTCTACGTCTGCAGTATGCACTGGGAGGGCAAGTGCTATGCCAGCCAATTTGCACAAGTTCGGGAAATTGTTCTTATGAAATATGTTGATAATTGCCCAGAGTTCTTTCATACTGTCATAACTGTAAGTGTTTGCCAGGACCAATTCCTTCAGTATTACGCATTCCTGTTTGACCACATTGCCATCAACAAACTTGTCATTTGTGGTGTAATGATTTTACATAACTTTACTGACATTACTACATTGACATGACATGAATAATGGCACTTCTGGTAATCATGCCTAAGAGTGTTTCAAGGAGCAAATGTTTTTTTTTTTTTTAAGAATAAAACTTGTTTTATGGAAATAAAAAATGGTGTTTACGATGTGTCCCTTGTTTTGAACCTGGTGTCTCATATTTTTATGAAATGGGAGACACATGTCTCTCTTTTCACATGAAGTTTCTGTATCACTGCTAGTACATGTAACTCCAGTGAATAATGCCACATGCTTAAGCAGTTCCAATGTATTTTGTGGCATTTACTTTCTTACAGGCAACTAATTGGCTTCAGACCAAAATCAACCTCACAAACATTATGTTTTACCATAGTTTTACTTGTCTTGAAACAACACTCAAGCAGACCTTGATCAGGAATTTAACTACTGCCTATTCTCCATGCTGTAGTATAAATTGCATAGGCTGCAAATCTCTTAACAACAAATTGAGAGAGAGAGAAAGAGAGAGAGCATCTGAGAGAGACAGATGTGTAAAGTAAATCTCTCTCTCTTTCTCTCTCTGATCATGTGTGATGTAGTGTGAGTGCATGCATGCATGCACATCCATACATGCATAAATTATGTTTTTCAACTACATGATTTTTAAAGCAACTAAATTTTTACCATACATTACTACAGCATACATTTTAGTAGGGAATACCCCCCCCCCCCCAAATCACCAATCACCAAGAATTAAAACAGCTCAGTCACCAATAAAGAAGATATATTCAGGTCAATCACCAAGAATTCCAGAATCACGTTTCACGCAGAATATTAGGCTCAAATAACGCATCACGCTAAAAAAATAAGGCAAATCACGCAAAAGGTATTCCCTATCCTCATTTTATAATGCACAAGATGAGCAAATAACAGACATGAGGATTCCTATAAAATCCCATCCTACTGAATAATGAATGAGGGCACAGTGATCATATATATACACACATTATTTATATCAAATTATATAGGATTAACAAGCTGGTCAAACAGTAAGATTTACATTATATTATATATTTAATATTAAATAGGGATGAGATGGCCGTTTACTGTAAGAGTCTTAAAATATGGCACTGGGTCCAGGAGACCACCTGCCTCAATCTCAAAATTGATATTTTTTGCTCCCAAATAGACAGAAATCTGCTAATGGTCAAAAAAATCTCAGTACTGATTTAAATCGGTCCTGACAAATATAAAAGACTGCTTACCTCCAATTTTTGTTAATATTCTAAACAATCTCCAAGAGCATTGTGATTTTCTTGCCATTTTCACTCCCATTGGTGGCAATAGTCTGTTAAGGTATTTCAACTACAGTACATTTACTGTGGTCCAACCATACATATATATAGCGCTCTTATACAACCAGCTACAGTCAACCTGACATAGTTGGCTATCCATTTTCAGCAGTCTTAGATAACCTCCAAAACCAAAAAGCTTTCTGTGAAATGGTTTCCAAATATGCTGCTGACTGGAATGTCTACACATGAAACTCATTCAGAGATTTTTTTTTTTTTTTTTTTTTTTTTTTTTTACGATATCTAGATATACCTTATAAGTACTTTTATATAGGGGCACCCTGAACATCATCAGAATTAACTAGAAACTAACCACTCTACTAACAATATGCCTCCAAAACTTTTATGGTTCTTATATAATATGCCTGGAAAAAAAAAAAAAAACAGTGATAGACTGAGGTACTGGTAAGTAACCAGAGTTTCAGAGTATCAATCTATTATATAATTTTCACCATGTTTCCAAAACTTACACTTACATAATTTACCTGAAAAGTACATGTGGGATAGAAAGTACCCCAAGTTTCAGAGATTACTAGAGACTTATCAGCCTATAATCAGCATGCCTTCAGATGGTTATTATTCCAGCAGAAATGACAAACTGGCACTTGCACCCTGAGTTTCACAAATTATTTCAAACTGCACAGGGATGCTGGTATGAGGTGAGTAGATTCTTGTAAACTCTTGAAACTCAGGGTTCTGGGATCTTTCTATAGATACTGTTGGGTTCATCTGGTCAGCGATTATCTTGAACAACATCCAGAACAGTCAGGGATATACTTAAACAATTCTGGGAAATATGAGCACTGTCTGGGAGAGAAATTTATACATTTCTGGCCCCCACTGAAACAATCAAGTAAAAATGCTACTAAAAAGTCTATCCTTCATTTTATCATCGGACATCCTGCGGCATCTGTTTTAAAAGTCATCTAATGAACCAAGACGACACTGCCTTTTTTATTTTTAATTAATTTATTAATTAATTAATTACTCTGAAGTGCCTAATAATAGTGCCGGCACGATTATTTTTTTCCAGAAATTTTCCAACCGGCACGATCTTATTTCCCCGGCACGATTAATAATTTTCCCAACATTATCCATACGGCACAATTATTTGGCAGTCATTGTGCCAGTTGGAAATACTGTTGAATGTTGAGTTATTTAGTTAGTTGAATTATTTAATTATTTAGTTGAGATGACACAATTGTGTCGGGTGAGATACACCTCTCCTTGCTGTTTAAACAGTGGGATTGACACCATTTTCATAGACACCAATGGTTTACGTAGATTCATCCAACTCTGTGGGGACTTTTGCTGAGTCACATAGTGAGTCAAGGCATTGTGTTAGTTGAGATGACAATATTGTGTCAGATGTGATAGAACTCACCTCCTCTTGCTGTTTAAACAATGTCATACAGTGGGTCAAGGCATTGCACATGTCTTTGGAGGCTGTCCCTATCTGCTGGAACTGTGACAGGAGCTGGACATGTTGGACTGTGCCTGAAATCAAGTGAAAACGATGAGTTAGGTGTGATCTGGAGACTGTGTTAGGTGTGATCTGGAGATTGTGTTGGGTATGTCAAAGTTCAGTTTCTA